GTTAAAAAAGTAATTGAAAAAAATGTAAAAAAGTGAATTGTTGAGCGACTCATCATGACGCAAAGAGTTACAAAAATATAACTTTCGGTATATCATCGTGAATATAACTTACAAAGCACGATTCGAATTGCAAAGTGAATTACAAAACAGCTCGCTTATTATAGCTTTGCGAGTGTATTTTCCGAGATCTTTCTAAGAATTCTCTAAAATACTTGATTTACCTTGAATTATGTAAACTCCTTCGCGCTGCTCTTGTCAAAGACAAAGAGGAAAATCCGGAATCTAACAATAAGTGCACTCCTCGCGTCTCGATAAGGAGTTAATTACGTTATTTGACTTAGCAATTAAAGAACAGATTTTTCCGCCAACTCCGCAGCTCTACCGCCACTTCCTTTTTTTTACGAACAAAGTTAGTTTCGCGCGGGCCAAGTTAATTACAAGTTACGAAATTAGAACTTTACCGCCTGTTCCCGGACTTCAGAACGCAAATTAATCCAGCTGGACGAGAATACCAGCAGAAAAAAATATATAAGCGGATTCCGTTAAAAATGTCGTCCTCTTAACATCATGGCTGTTGCATCGAGACAACGAAATTTAAAAATTAAAATTGCAAGCATGTCTCACGCGACAAGAATTTTTCTTCCTTCTATGCATGTGTATTCACTGATATATGCAAAATATATATATTTTATTCATAGCTGAAATAAGGTAAAAATTGAATATTCAAGGCATTAAGATTAATTGGCAGATCTTTCCAATTGAAATACTTTTGTAATATCTTCTTTTTGCGCGAGAAGCTTCCCTCGCTTCCCCGCTGTGTGCCAGGGGATTAAAAGAAGAATTACCATATATCCACATAAGAGTGCAGAGAATTCTGAAATTAAAACCAACTTTTTCAACAATGTGACGGAGAAAATAATAAAGTTAGCTCGGTGCTTTTCAAGTCAACTCTTCATTCACACTTACTGAACTTACTACACATTTATGACTTCCGCTAAAAGTTGCTGCATAAAGGATGAATAATGCATTTCGTATTTTGCGAACGGCAATATATACTATATTTGATTTTTCGAGCCACAGTACTTTACTAGAAATAGCGCATCGAGAACGCTCAGGATGGAAAATGGCGTTTCGCAAAAAAAAGAACCTAAGTACTAGAAGAAGAGACTCGGAAAGATAGACTTTTGCAGATGGCATATTTGGAATATAAAGAGAAAGCAACGTAATAAAAAGACACGTCTAACGGTCCATGACGAAAGTCGTAAAAAAGATAAAAGTTAAAGTTCGATATTATGCAAAATCGCGATTACTCCATGGCTTTCTGTTATTCGTTGCACGTGTGTATCGATGCGGTCGCACAGACACGCATCGGTAATTTCGCGTTTGCGTATCGTGAATAATATGCGGCGAAAAGTACCCGAGGTAATTTAAATTAGGAAGACATTTCGCTGACTATAACACGGTTGCTATGTCGTTTATTTTTCGTAAATTATGCCGAGATCGTACCTCTCTGCGCTTCGAGAGCCATATATATTGCGGCGCACATACATAGGGTGACCAAAATGTATCGTAATCGATATTTAGATAGTAAAATCTCTGTAATAATTTCCAGCGAATAATTTATCATTGCTTATCAGTATAACTTATTAAAATACAAGCAGCAAGTTTTTAAATTATATTATAAAAATGATGCGATTCGGAGGAAAGGGCACATCAAAGTTTTTTTATTATTGATGATATTTAATAATTAATATTGGAGTCATTGCATAGATCAATTTAGACAAAAGTCCATAGTGATTATAATAAATCAATTATTCCTTAATCAATCGATTAAAAAAAGAGTTTAAGATCTTTTGAAGTTAAAAGATCTTCTTTTCAAATTGAGCGGAAAAATATTACATTTTCAAAAAGTAATATTTTTTATCGCCAGTAATCATATAAGTGTCATATATGTTAGCCACATATGTTATTTCTGTCAATTTCACGCAGATCCAAGGTCGCATAATTTTCGCCACCCTGTATTGCAACCGAGCTGCGAACGAGGGCGTTGTTTACGACCGGTGTGGAAGCGTAATTGAGTGCGCTTAATAAATAAACATGCTCGCGCTCGAATACGCATCCACGAGATGCATATGGGGATGAACTGTAAAAAATGAATTCATTTTTCAGAGAATGTTGGTCGACTCAGAAAATATGCGTTGCGACATTCCATTCAAATTACACAGGTTCGTGTGAAACATTAAAGAGTCATTTTAATCGTCGATTTTGCGATTAGATTTTTTCCGATCGATGAGAGGGAGAGAAAAATTAATATTCGCCAGCAGGCACACACATGCATTAGTAGAGATAAAAAAATGTATTATATTTTAAAAATAATATGAAAAGTAAGGATATTAATATTATAAAGATATTAAAATATATATTAAGGTATTAAAATATAATTTGCTATGTAATTTAAAAAGTGTAGTAGAAAATTTTTAATGAAGAGATGCTTCCGGAAGCGTATCTCGGTTCGATTGCGAAAAATCGAAGAAGGAAACTTGGGACAAGAGAAGAACTGAATCCGCTCGCATCCCTCTTTCAAGAAACGAATCTTGATTAATGGCGCAAGTTTGCGTTACCCTGTCCCGCACCGGCCATGCTCGGAATGCATAATGGGCGGAATATAATTAAAATTGAACCTGGCAGACGAAGCGGAAAGAAAGAGAGCCATCTTTCTTTCTTTCCCTCTCTCTCTCTCTTTCTCTCTTTCTTTCTCCCTTTTTCTTCTCTGCAATGGCGTTAGTAACCACGGAAAAATAACGTCGTTGGCCTCGCAATTAGCGGCGCCGTCTTTGAACAATGACGGCAATTAGATCGGTCCACGTCGAATGCACGCGAAAAGTGCATCGGCCGCGCGCACCAATCGTTAGAGAAACCTAAGAAAAATCGTCCTACTGTAAACGTTGCGCGAGAGAACAACGCCAGTGTTTCGTTAATGGCCAATTCGCTGAATGAAGTCGTTCGCTGTTCAGACCTTTCTTCAGCCGTGATGTCATCGTCTCGTGAGACGGGTTTAATCCAAGAGAGGTCTGGGATGGAAGTCCCTAAATTTCCCATTTTTCACACCTTTCTAGTGAAAAAGATGATAAAATTTCTCTTAAATGAAGTTATAAATTATATTAAGATGTATTTGGTATGAATAATAAAATATATCGGTATAAAATGTAAATGATAATCATTTACTAAGGCACAATTTAAAGAGTATTAATAATAATAATTCAATTTTCTTTCACCAAGCTTCCAATAGGGGCACGCAATTTTACGAAAATGAATTTTAACAAGGTCGATGCTCTCAATAGCTTGGAATAGCCTTTAAATGACCCCGTTCTTTTCGAGACAATAAAATTCGGTCGCGCATTTGGCCGACTAAGTTCACACAAAGGTAGGAATTTTTACGGACGCGAATAAAAGCCAGATTCGCTCCTAGCATCCATTCCTCAGATTCTTTTCTGTGTTACAGCGTGAATAAGTGTAATACGTAAAACGCAAGTTTCCGATAAACACTTAAAAATAATGGCCAAAAAAAGCGATACGATGCGATCTTTTTTAACACGCCTGACAGACCCAGTAACGGAGATGGTGATTAATAAATATTATGGTGATTAATTAATATTATCTCTGGACGAGATATCGCATTTTCGTTTACGAGTCTTCTTAATGACGAGACCCCGTTCATATCAGCACCGTGTATCAGCATGTTTAACACCGTAGTTTCTAGTTGAAACACGAACCACGCGGCAATTTCAGCGGAAATTGCCGTGTTTTAATGGCTCCCAACTGATCCTTTAAACTTCCATGCTGCATTACGCTAAGTAGCTTAATAATTAACTCCCACATGGAACTCGCGTCGCAATAAAATTTATCGCAAATTAATTGAAAAATAATATTCCCGCACGCCTCTGCCATTTATACGCGTCGCTCAATCCGCGCATTTAATTTTCGCATTGTTAAGCAATTCACTAATTAATATGTTCACACATCGGATCCTCGTTAGGCGAAACTTGAACGCAAGTTAATTTAACGGAGTTAACTTTCTCTGTCGTCATCATTTGACAGGCATTTTGCAATACGTATGTCTATTTAAATTTCCTAGAACCGCGGGCTAAACAGAAGGATAAATAGGTTCTCCAAACAGTTTGATATTAAACATATATTGATGATGTATATCAATTTCGCGTTGAAAAATTTCAAGGTAGCGCCTAATCTGGAAGCCAAATCGACAGGGCGACCATGCCTTTAATGAATTTCTCTGTTTTACATAAGAATACACTTTATATATGCAGATATCTGAATGTCATCTGAATCTCACCTTGACCCGATTACTTCATCAGATGGATCTGAATACGAGACTTTTGCAATTTTTGTCGCTTATAATAAATCATATAGATTGACTGTTTATTGTTTAATCTGTCAGATTAATCGTTGCGCGATCAGAGATATATTTGTTCGCGCATTAATGGATAATATTTTGTTATTGAAAATATTTCCAGCTTTATAAAATTGCTTACCTAGAGATCATTAATTAGAGATAGGATTCATTTCTTTTATACAAATAATACCGGCAAGTTTCGTAAATTGACGCGTTTCGCCTCCTTTGAACGATTGGCGACGTTTGATCGGATAACAATGGTAATAATGCAAATCAAATTTAATTCAATGTTTACCATTACATTGAACATACAGTGGCAGTTTTCGCGTGCATGTAAAACATCGAAATCCGTCCGGGCGAAATTATGCCGATTCCAATCGTCGAGTTTAACTTCTCTTTTCTCCATTAATTTTTTTTCTGAATATTTCTCTTGTACCGTGCCGGTTATCTCCTCGATCGAAATCCATTAAGGAAACGTGAGATGTCTTATCGAGGCTGCCTCTAGCGAGGCGATCATTTGCCGCGACGAAGGCCGTCGTTCTCGATAATATCGTTTAGCACACACGTGTAGATTTCACGGACGACTTACCTTGTAACTGCCGACCGCGTGTGCGCCATCGTAGATGTAGAGATGGTCGTTGCAGTCTAGCTGCAGCTGATCGAATCGGAGCATGAAACGTTGGAGGATGCTGTGAGTCTGGAAAGTAATGGCGCAATCGAGCTCCCTCTCATTTTGCGACGTAAGAACGGCGCCGTCTATCTTCCTGTAAAGGTCCCGCAGGAAGTACTTCTTGCAGATGTCGCTCATCTGGTCTGCAATGAGAACGGAAATGGACGAACGTGAAAGTTAATCGATTCGACTCGCTTGGGTCTCGATATAAACGTATCGCGTGAAAATAGGATTTATTGAAAGCTTTATTTTAAAGATACTTCGGGAATGTGTAATATTTACGAATCAGAAACTGAGGTGTTCCTGCCAAATTTAAACGCATCCATTTTCTGTTTACGTACAGTACGAGTTAACGATCCTGTCCTAGGGAGGGGCAAGTAGCTGATTGACCAGTTCTACGCTTCCCTTGCCCCGTCTAGAATAGAATTCATTGACGCGTACTGAACATTCGAAAATAAGATAGGAAAAGCGTCGGGAAATTGGCGCAATTTGATATTTTCCAAAATAACTTTTACGATATATTTGTTTCGATTGGCTGCGATATTTCAGATTTTGCATTCTCGTGGAACATGACACCGAACACGTGACACACAATCGCACTTTTCCTCCATTATGGGCGCGTTTTCAATCACACTTTTCCTCCATTATGGTCGCGTTTTCAAAAGCCGCCGAACAAAGAGGGTGAAATTCACATTTTCAGGGCGAAAAAAAATTTCCACTTTTGCGCGCGGATGACACGGCCGTGTTGTCCGTACATCGTACAAATAACCACAATGCTAGAATGCGCGATTGCAGCCGGCGGATTTGCATTTAAAACGAATGATAACGAATGCGCGACGACAGTCGGCAGTCAACGCGTCGAGGAAATAAGTTACAGACGCACTTCGGCCCGGGGCGTTATTGCGATATCGTTGCAGCTTCCTCCTCCTCTCCCCCTGCCCCCCCGACATTATGCCATAACGTATTTTGGAGCGGGCAACAGAGGTTGCAGTTCTAGAACTTTGTGCACGTCTTCGTTTCTCTCTCTCTCTCTCTCGCAGAAAGAGCATCCTTCCTGTCTCACCCTCTATCCCATCTGTTTCTCTTCCCCATTATCATCCCTTTGCAGCTCTTCGCTCCAGCTGTAACGTCGAGAAATTACTTACTCCCAAGACTGGGGGTTTGTGACGTACGCGTTTGTGCCAGCTAAAGTGTAATTGCGTCGAGTTTTCGATCGTCTGGAGCGAGTTACGTATATGATATTTAAATGAAAGACATCTGAGAGAGATTTGTGCCTAGAATATGTTTCCTTGAACTTAAAAAATTCACTCTAGGCGCAGGAGATTTGGATGAAATACACCGATCGTCGACGGAACTCTCGGTGCGAATTTGATTAAAACGACGCAAAATTGCGTGTTTCGACACGCGCGAATAAATTCGTTATATCCAACTGCGAAGTTGGCCGAGTCGAGAAGAACTTTTACTGCCATCGGTAAGAAATTTTACGAGTCTTCTTTGCACCTCGACGCCGCCACCCGCTTGTCGAACACGTACGGTGCGTTGCACATCTGGATGTGACAGGTGAGCAGGAAAAACGTGACTCGTCGTTAAGTAATGTATTATGGCACGCGCAGGTGGCATTCCCCGGATCGACATAGAGGTCGATATAGAGGTCATCCCGAGTCCGATGCCTCCTTCTCCCTCCCCCCTCCTTCAATCAGATATGAATAGAAAAGAATCGATATGCGCTATTTTTTTATCTAGAGACAGACATTGCTATTCTTGTACGATAAATTGAGGATATATTTATGACGCATTAATCCTATAATATTTGGCTAACCCGAATATGTCGTCGGAAAGAACACGAATGCGCCATTACCCGCTGAAATTAGAGCAAATTGAAGTTTTCATTGCCTCAGATATTCCGAATAAATAGCGCGGAGAAAATTTTGACGTATTTCAAACTACGAAGATCCACAGACGTCTTTGTGCAGGGGCGCTAAACTAAATACGAAGTCTTAAGGAGACTAAATTCAGAATCCGGAAACTTAGAGACTGGAAGAAAAAAGAAGAATCAAAGGCAGAAATCTTCGTCGAGTTTTGGAGAATACAATTTCGCAGGAGCAGAGATCGGGGATATTCCGAGAGAGAAAACTATTTTCTCAGACAACTATAAGTTGGCGAATTTAACGAATAAGTAACTCCATTATACCGGGAAGTTTCGATTTGCAAATTTCTCATACACGAAATGATTTACTAAAGAGATATAACGTATAAATCTCTCCCTTATCTCCCATTTTCACGATAAAATATTTCGATTATGATATACTCGAAATGTATAGGATTTTCCCAAATTTACCAAGAGATATGGATATAGTCTTTTAAAGTAAACGCGCGCATTTAATAATATAAAATAAAATATTAATTTTTAACATTTTATATTAAAAACTAATGTCTTTTTAATATGAAATTAATATTTTATATTAGAAATTAATATCTTTTTAATATTAAATTAATATTTAATTAAATTTATATTAGTATAAATTATTTTATTATTAATCATTTACATTAATAGAGATGACTTGTTTTAATTTTTATATTGACGTTTAATATTTAATTAAAATCAGAGATTCTAAACGAATATTAATTTTTAATATTTTTTATATTAAAAGTTAATATTCCTTTATTAATGTCCAAATCTCCGATTTACATGATACATCGCGTGTATAAATTTTAATCGCGTTTCTATCGAGGTATTCTATATTCCCGGTGGACCCATTGAGAGCGTTTACATGAACGCTTGACCAACGTTTCCCTCGACTCAAAAACGATTACGTTTCTCAATGGGAAGCGCGCTTATTCAAATGGACATCGATCGAGGACGCCGCACTTAATCATTTACAGTTCCTCGGCGAAGAACCAAACCGCCGATTCGTACGTTTAAACGCGCCGGTCCACGATGCTTAATATCCATTCGGATCGGTCAAACGGATCAGAATCGAATTATCGGTTCGACCGATCGGCGAGCGATTGATTCGCGTGCACCGTCGAGATAAAACGGAGTCGACTCAATACAAGCCGCGATTTATTAACTTCGCTCTGTTGCACGCGACGTGATAAGGAGAGAAGGCACGTTAAATTCATCGGATTATAATCCTGAGAGAAGGAATTTCACGCTCCCATCCTCTCCGCGCGATTCGCGATGTAAATAATAAATTTTTCTGATATGTCGCGATATATCAGCGCTAATGGATTCATCTGCCGCTTCGACCGTCGACTGCTTTAGATAGGGAAGTCTCGATTCTCTCGGGACCGTAGTGTCAGGATTGCTTCGGCGATAATTCTACTTCGTTTTCTACCTTTGCGATATATATATATTTAATTTTTATCCGCTCTGTAACTCTGTTTACAGAGAGCTCGCGAAGTAATATCATTTTCGCTTTGTTTTATTTATCGCTTATCAAGCGGAAGAGGATATGAATCGCTGTAATATAATGCTGCATTGTTAATTCTTGCAATTGCATTACCTTTGTAATGTATCTAATTGGTACTACGGTAGCTACATTTCGCAAGAAAGCTTGTTTGGGGAGTGTAATCAATTAATCGTAATTATATAATATTATATTTCAAGTCTGGAACAACATCACTTTGATTATTTTCAGCAAATTTATTTTCAGTTGTATAATTCAATAAAACGTCATGATATTCAATGTCATAATCTTCGTCTTTTATCTCGTCCGAATAAAATTTTACATCATCATAGAAATCTTCCAAATAAACGTGTGATATAAATCAATCTGATTATGACACCATTCTGTCAAAATTAATTTTTCGAGTAAGCATAATTTCCATCTTTTTAAAAAAAATGCTCTTTTTAGTTTTTATTTATATTTCCATCAAAATATACATGTGCCATATCAATTTCTTTATCATTGCCGTGTAAGATGCATAAAAAATGGTGATTAAAACGATAACATTAAAAAAACGACATTAAAAAATTAACTGTATCTCAATAAAATTTCAATTCTTCCAAAAACTAATAAAAGTATAAGGATTGAGATTTGTGCTCCTCTTCTTATGGCTGAGATTTAAGATTCTCTTAAGATTGCTAAGGCAGAAATGGCGGTCGGAAAAGCGCGAAGAGATCAAACCACTCGAGCTTCCCCCCGCGACAATCTCGGGATCGAGATTTCTTCGACGTTGCCGATTCGTTCTGGGTGAAGGAGTTACGAGAATGAAAGGACAAAAAATAAAAAGCCCGTAACGAGGCCGCTGCGCGAGGCAGGGAGAGGGGGGAGGGGGAGAGAGAGAGAGAGAGAGAGAGACGGGACTACCGCCCCGAACAAGAAACTCGATTGAAAAGTTTCCGCTCGCGGCTAGGGATAGTTTTCCGCATGGTGCAGCTGCCGATGGACCAGTTCGAGGGCGAGAACATTCTCTCGAGGAGGCGAGAGGAGATTCCCGTAAAGATAAGAGCGCGCTATTTCCGCCGGCGGTCACGACTCCGGCGTAAATAAGGTACACGTACGCGAGGCGACGATCGGCGCCGTCAAAGTGCCACGTGCGCCATGTCGCCCATCGCAATCGTCGCACTGACTTCCTTCCGGTGGTTACACCCGGCTGCGGATGCCCGTCATTCGTGAAGATGAACCACCGATGCCGTATTACTTGGTCTTCGCGAACCGAAACCTTGTCGTATAAAACGAAATAAAGCTGGTCGTCTTCCTAAGTCTTAGACTTAATAAATAAAAGATCGAAATGAGAGATGAGAAATTAATTTTTTTTATTTGTTCTTTGACGTTTTGGAAAATGTATAGGATAGATTATTTATTCCTTACGTTTAAGAGCTCATAATAAATGTAATTACTCTGTCCGTTGAAGATAAGTAAAGAGCAGATGCAAAAATTTAATTTCGACTTGAAATTGACAGAAGAAGGAGAGAGAGATTATGTACATTCTTAAAACTTAATTCATTGAAATCTTAAGCTTCTTCTCTTTAAGCTTTAACGTTAAATATTTTCAGATTTATATATAATATTTACATTTCCCTTCAAATATTTGCGAGCAAGATCCGCGCGATTCGAAATTCGTCGAAAAATCTTATAGATGATAAAATATGCGATTACGTGATCGTAGAGGTAAATTTGCGCGAGATTAAAAACTG